AGAGATGAACATTCTTCACAGGGTCTGGTCACTCCACAGTCCCCTTCCTCCAGCTCATTAGATCCTGGGCATGTAAATGTGTGATATGTTTTAGGCTGAGCAGGCCTGGGATTCAAACCACACCTGCCATGTGGGATCTAGCTTCCACTGCTGTACCATGGTGCTGGCCCACTCTACTCCACAGCCTAAGTCAGTGCTCCATGAGGGAGGGAGCCAGTGGACAAGGGAACAAACAACTTTCCAGGATGCTAAGCCCCACCAAGGGGAATAAAGCCTGTCCATGGCACCTATCCTCTTCTTTTTTAAAAAAAAATTTGGAGAGGTTTTTGCTATAGAGCACATGCACTAGCCAGAGAGAGACAGAAAGCGAGAAATCACCCCCCAGGGGGGATGGCCACGCTGCAATCCCTTCTCCTCCATTCTCCTCTCCAGATCCTGGGCACCCAGGCACACATGCCTGGTGTGAATTTAAGTGACCAGGTCCAGGACTCAAACCGCAGTTGACTACATGGGAGTCCAGCGACATAGCCATTACACCAACTGCTGGTCCCTCCTCTTCTCTTTTTTTCAGCCAAAAGAAGAAAGCCCAGTTCCACTAAACATCTGTTCCCAAATAGTGATATTAGTACAGATTGATAAATAAGCAAGTTGAACAAAACACAGTCCAGAAATATATTCACATGTGTGGGAATTTAATATATATAATAAAGGTGACATTTCTAATCAGAGGGTAGACTCTTCAATGAAAGGTGTTTGGATAACTGAAAAATAAATCTATTTAGATTCTTACTTTTCATTGTTCTCAAAATAAATTCCTAATGATTACTTGTCCTGGACCTTTCAAACAGTGACGTCATCTAAATCCTTCTAGAGTCTGTTTCTTTTTTCTTTTCTTTTTTTTTTGAGAGAGAGAGCAGGAAAGTGAGAAATCACTCTCCAGAGGACATGGCCACATCGCAATTCCTTTTCTGTTCTCCTCTTGGGATATTAGACCTGCATACACATGTGCCCAGTGTTATTTTCAAGCCTGCCAGGTCCAGGACTCAAACATGTAGTCAGCTATGTGGGATCCAGTGTCTTAACAACCTGCTGGCCCCTCTAGAGTCTATTTCTATCTCTTGCCCAGTTTTTTTTTTTTTTTTTTTTTCAGGACAAAGGCTAGGATTATGGCTTTAAGGACAGACTCTGCCTGTTCAACCCCTGATATCATTTGTATATATGTGACAAGCAGGTTCAGCCCAGTAGAGGTCCTCAAGGGCTGGGAAGTCACTGCCTGGGCAGATTTAATTTAGTAACATTTGACAGGCTATGGTTGCAAATGACCACTCAGTTCCTACCTTGGAGCGTAACGGGGGGCGGGAGAAATGCTTAGAAAATCACCTTGTGCAAGGTCTCAAATCTCTAAGCAGGAACTGGCTATGCCCGGGAGAGGGGAGTTGGAGAACCAGGAAGGGCCTTACCGTCTGCCGGCCGTAGGGCCAGGGGAAGGCGTTCTCCTTCTGGGCCATCCTTAGAGGGAAAGGAGCAGAGCTGAGCGGAGAAGGGAAACAGCTGTAAGCAGCAGGAAAAATAAATAAATAAATAAATAAATAAATAAAGAGAGAGGAAGGGAGGGGTCGGGCCGAAGTGGCCGGAAGCGCTATCCTGACGCTACTGAAAGCGAGCAGATCAGCACTCCGGCCACAGTCAGCGCATTCGGCACTAGTCTAGCCGCCCAGGGCCAGATACAAGCCCCATCCCTTCCAGAACCCTCTTTCCACCCTTGACGCTCAGCAGCCCGGCAGAGCGCGCGGGCCCGCCCAACGGACTCCCCACCTGCTCGATCGCCTGCCCTCTCCCGGCGCAAGGTCCACGAAAGGGGGCCAGTTCACCTGGAGCTCGTGGGACAGATACTCTCTCGGCCGCCTGCAAACGACTAGGCCGGCTCGGCCGTGCTCCGGCTAAGGCGCTTTCAAATCTCCCGCTCTGGTCCAATTGGCTGAGCTCGCCGCCTATGTTCAATTACCATTGGCTAGATGTCCTGTGACGTAGACTATGAATGTCCAATAGAAGAAGGCGGATGTGAGCGAGCGCATTCTCGGGTTCCAGTTTTGGAAAGTTTCCCAACTCCCGCATTAAGTGTTGTTTTTCCTCGGTTTCCTTTTTTAAAAGATAAGTATTTACGGTAACCGGAATTTATTGTTATGTGTGTATGATCTAAGGTCAAGCTTTATTTTGATTCAGATAGAGAACCAATTATGAAAAAAATTTAAAAAAGAAAATCAATTATGCCCATATAATTTAGTAAACATAATGCCCCATTCTCAATAGATTTCAAGTACTGCCCTATATATATGTGTGTGTGTGTGTGTGTGTATCCCTATATATATATATATATATAAAATATTTATTATGTGTTATATATATCATATATATGTAATGTGTCTATTTCTGGACTCTGTTGTTCGTTCGTTTGCGTATGTGTTTATTCTTGTGCAGGTGATGTGGTGGTTAAGGTGCTGGACTCTCACGTGGCCAACAGTGATTTGAGTCCTGGACCTGGCAGCTTGCTTTCTCTCTTTCCCCCTCTCTCTCTGATCAAATTTTTAAAAAATGATAATAATGAAGAATAAAATTAAATAATTTTTTTGAGAGTGATTTTTGCTATAGGGAACATGTGCTTGCCAGAGAGACAGAGAGAGAGAAAGAGAGAAATCATCCCCTAAGGGGGATGGCCACATTGCAATCCCTTCTCCATTCTCCTGGTATCTTGGGTACACATGCACATGGACCTGGTGTGAGTTTTAAGCTGACGGGTCTGGGTTTCAAACTGCATCGACTACATGGGAATCCAGTGTTGTAACCATTATGTAATTTGCTGGTCCCAAATTAAATCATTCTTTTAAAAAA